TTCTCAGATCTCGGAAGCTAAGCAGGGTTGGTACTTGGATGGGAGACCACCAAGGAAGACTCTGCAGAGGAAGGCGATGGTAAACCACCTCAGTTTCTCCCTTGCCTTGATAACCCCTTTCTGGGGTCGCCATAAGTCGGCTGGGACATGCTGTTCCAGGCCGGTATTCCCTCCAAGCTGAGTTAGTGTGAGCTAGCTCACAATTTTTTAGCCTCCGGCTCACACATTTCTTTCTTAGCTCAGGAAGGAGGGCTCCAGAGCAGACTCATTTATGCAGTAGCCAAATCACCTGCTCACAACTTTAATGCCGGTAGCTCACAAAGTGGAATTTTTGCTCACAGGGCTCCACAGCTTAGAGGGAACACTGCAGGTGACCTATGGATACATGAAGCTGTCTTGCACCAAATCAGACCCTTGGTCCGTCAAGGTCAGTCTCGTCTGTTCAGCCAGCCAGCAGCACTCCAGGGTCTCAGACGGTGATCTTTCCCATCACCTCCTACCGCATCCTTTCAACCGGAGATGCCGGGGATTGAACCTGGGACCTTCTGCATGCCGAGCAGATGTTCTACCACTGAGCCACGGCCCCTCCCAGTGCGTTTGCAGTTCCTCCAAAAGCTCCAGAGCTGAGTAACCTGCCCAGCCCAGTACTTAAGGGAATGGGGAATTATTGTTTTTATTGATCATTTCTCCAGCCTTGCCCAATACGAAACAAGGAAAAAAATATATATACATACATTTATGCCTCTAATAATCAGATTTATCGTCTTTAAGAAAAAAAGTTATTTCAAACAATAGCTTACTGGATTGTAAAACTTAAGGCTAGTTGTGCTGTCGAAACCCTGCGTGCCGTCCCGTCTGAAATTTCCAGGCCCTAAGCAGGGTATGTATTCTTCTGCATATGTCGGCTTCCCTTGGCTCACATTTGAAGAGGTCAAGGGTGAGATCCCTGCACCATATAGAAAGACCCAGCTTGCAACTTCTAGCTAGCAGCCTGATCCTCGGATCCCAATCCGAGGTTATTTGGCTTTTGTTCGATTTGGAGTAGCCCGGAAGGGCATTCCCACGGCTCTGATGACACACTTAAAAAAAAAAAAATGGAAGAAATAATGTTTGGGTGAACGCACATCAAGAAACTGAGACGGAGGAGCTCTCGGTTTTCTGAGTGGGGTCTGAAAAGGTCCGTTGCTTCATGTGCAAAACTTGCGACGTTCGCCTTCGCTTTCTACTGGACCTTCCCGATTGTACAACCAAAGCTAGAGCTTTAGCATCTTTAAAAGGATGCTTTCTCTGTTCTCCCCCTTCCCCAAATGGCAGGAATTACTTTGCTTTTACAGTAATAGAATAAGGCATGATTACTCTCACAAAGCTAACAAGCTGGTGGCCGTGGCAGCTGAAGGAGGGTTAGGAGACCCAAACGAAATAAGCTATCTCGTCCAGGTCGACGGGGTAGTCCGTCAACAGGATAGGTGTCTTTTCAAACAGCTCTCCTTTGTAACTGCGCCACTTGCCAGCCGGGAGGTAGACGTCTCGCTCTTGTTTCCCCAGTTCCAAGACCGGCGCTACCATGAGGGTGTCGCCGATAAGAAACTGGGAATCGATTTTGTGTGCAGCCTCGTCGTTGGGGGAGATCCACCAGATCGGCCGGATAATGGGATCTCCCGTGTCGGTGATCTCGCCAGCCAACTCCAACAAGAGGGGGGCAACCAGAGATTCGTGGAGCTGCGTGAACTTCTGGGCGATTTCTATGACTACTCTGTCGTAGAGCCAAGGTGGGATGGAGAACTGCATGGAAGGCATGAAGGCCGACAACTCCAGCCAGCGGATATAGAGTTCCTGGTCTGGGATTTCCACAGCACCGTCCGTCTTGTTGGGGAAGAAGTTTCCACCAATCATGTCAGCCGATACGAAAGGGTATCCCAGCATGCTAATCGTCAGGACGGTAGGGATCAAGGACTTTAGCCCAAGTTCGTAGCCCCACACCGAATCCCGGTCAATGATCCGGAAGAAGCAGGAGATATTCTGAGACTGGTAGCCAACGCGGACCTCGGCCAGTTCATAAAAGGGGATAGCCATTTCCGTGTACCGCCTGGACCAAATGCTGGGATCCGACAAGGGCCGGAAGGTGCTGAACTGTTTGGGAAGATAGTTGGTCTCCCCGGCATCGAATTTGAAGGATGAGATGGCGTACTTAGAGCGAAGTTGTCTCAGGTGACCCTGAAACCAGTCCCTGGCAGAAGGGTTGGTGAAATCCAAGATGGCGCCAATGCCGTTCCACCACTCCACCATGGCAGGAAGCCGTCCCGTGGGCTCTTTGATAAAAAGCTGTCTCTCTATGCCCACCCCAAAGTTGGAGGAGTTGTAGTTTATGAACGGGTGGATCCACAGGGTGATTTTGAACCCGTCTTCTCGGAGCTTCTTGAACGTTTCCGTCACGTTGGGGAACTTTACGGGATCGAAGTCAAAATCGCCGTACGCTTGCGTGTACGTGTCGTCTATTTCGATATGGCTGCAGTTAAATTTATACTTCTTAATCTTCTCCGCAAAGCGTAGCAACTTGTCCTGGTCGATGTTGTTTTTGTACAAGGCCCAGGTGGACCAGATGGGATACTTGAAGGCATTCTCTGAAGGTATCTTGGAAGGTTTGTAGAAATATCTCCGAACCATGTATTTGTGGATGGATGTGATATCTGAACCGACGCAGACACGGTAACTCAGCTCTGGGAAGGGCTCCTGTCCCAGGGGAGGCTTGTAAGGGGAATCCTTATACCTGGCCTGGAAGAAGAGAGACCTTTCCGAAGCATTGAACCCCAGGTGAAACGGCACCGAGTCATTAATCTTGATGGCTGCCGCTTTGGAGGAGATCCAGTATCGCTCCAAGATTCCACCAAAGCTGTTCCTGAAAGAATGCACATCGCTGGTCACGAACGGCATAGGTTCTTGGTATCCGGGGAGCTGGATTGGCCAGTGCTGCACGCTCATCTCACAGCCCCCGTACCAGTGGGCGTCCCCCCAGAACATTTTGTGTTCCACCACGGTGTCGGCCACAAACTCCTCCCACCGGACACGGTAGCACATCACCGTGTCCTTGGGCTTGACAGTCTGTATGAAAAAATTGAGCTTCCCTTTGTCCGACCTGGTGCAGGTTAAAATCTCCCCCTCCTTAGAGCACGACTCCAGGTCCAGCGACCCCGACTGGAAGGCCACCTTGAAGACGACCTCCCCGTAATTGTTTTTGATGATGAACCCGTCTGACTTCAGGTCCATCTTCTCCGTCTTCAGCCTCTCCGCCTTCCGAAGGGAAGCCACGTAGTAGCACCATGCGACCACCGCGGCGATGAACAGGATCAGGCCCAGAACTATGGCAATGATCATTGGCTTCAGCTCCTTGGCTGGTTTTTGCTTCACCGGAGTGAAGTTCTCAGGCAAGAATGTGTACATGGTACCGTCCTGTCTGGGGAGCTCTTTCCGAAACAGAGAAGATGTAGAATCTTATGCAGAGTTCTGAAACATATATATAGAAGCTGGTAGCAGAGAACTGCCCTCCCTTCTCATTACGAGGGGGTGACTTTTGATTGCACGTTACAAAAGGAAGTTCCCTCCGGTTCCATTCAATCCCATGATGCAAGAGTCTGGAAGAAAAAAAAACGGGAGGGGGAGAAGGAGTGCAGGAAGTTAGTCAAGTATTTATTAAGAAGGTTGATATATTCAATCCATAACATCAAATAATACGACATTCCACCAAGGTTCAACACTTTTGGCCAGGACTCCCCAACGTGGGCACCATGATACCCAGCCACATGTTTTCTGGCACGCGCCCAATGTTTTGAGAAAGTGGGCGGGGCCAAATGAGGACTTTTGCCCAGCAGCGCTTCAATTGGCCACTGGAGACCTGATTGACTGTGAATTTTTTTTAAAAAAAGTTGCATTCACAGGCAATGCTCCCTCTAAGCTGTGGAGTCTTGTGAGCAAAAGTTCTACTTTGTGAGCTACTGGCACTAAAGTTGTGAGCCAGTGATTTGGCTACTGCATAAATCAGTTTGCTCTGGAGCCAGCCCTTCCTGAGCTAAGACAAAAAATGTGCGAGTTGGCAGCGAAAATGTGAGCTGGCTCACACTAACTCGGCTTAGAGGGAACACTGTTCACAGGTGGCTGCCACTAGACTACAAGGCTCTTCACCGTGGGACTGAATGCAAGCTGGGTGTGTGCAAGAAAATATTATGGAACAATATGTTCATTCGCAAAGGCATCCTGCGAAACAGAGCTTCTGGCCTTGCAATGTTGAAGAGTTAACTGTTAACGTTACTCCCTGACGCTCCGTGGTTCGTTCTGCCTCTGGTAGCAGCCGTTCTCTGGTTGTTCCCACCACCCTTTATCAGGATCTCAAAGGTGCCTGCAAGCTCCAAAAGGGTTGGGGGCCTTTGGACATACAGGAGTGGTGGACAAGTTATGGTTTTGGGGACTACACCGGGCATCCCAGGGCTATTTATCCATCTCTCAAGCTGCTTCACAACTCGACAGGAGAGCAGCAACACCACTGGAAATCCATCCAATAACTGGAGGGCTTGGGGGATTAGAAAATCAGCAGGGGGTGGGGGCATGATGGAGGTTTATCAAATTACGCCTGGGGTGGAGAAAGTGGACCAAGAGGATTTTCCCCTCCCTCTCCCAAAAGACTAGAACTGGAGGACATCCAATGAAGCTGATGGGCAGTAGGTTCAGGACGGACAAAAGGGAATACCACTTTACACCGAGAGGGATTCAGATGTGGAATTCGCTGCCAGAGGATGTCGTGATGGCCACAGGAATGAACAGCTTTCAAAGGAGATTAGATAGATTCATGGTGGAGAAGTCTATTAATGGCTAGTAGCCATGCTAGCTGAGGGGAATCTCCACATACAGAGGAATGAAACCTCTGAATTCCAGAGCCAGGAAGGCCTTGGCCTCTGTGCCCTGTTATTGGCCCTCCAGAGGAACTGG